AGGCCTTGTTCAAAGAGTCCACCTCACTTCTCTCTAACTCAAAAGCTTCCTTGCAACCTATATACATCTTTTTGGTTTCCTCAAGATATTCATCTCTATCGGCTAGCTCGGCTTTGATACTTTCTAATTCCTCCATTAGATTTATGATGAAGAGCTTGGTCTTAGGATCCAAAATTTTAGTCAATTTAGCATATTTCTCAACATCACTATTATCATCATCACTAGAATCACTAAGTTCACTACTAGAGATGTCACTAGGAGGTGGAGGAGATTTGGCTCTTCGTTTTACCTTCTCACCCTTTGCCATAAGACAAACGTGAGTGGAGCGATGGTCATCATCATCGGACATGTTGTTAAAGAGCCTTGGTGTAGAGGATGGCTTTTGAATGGCCACAGTTGCAACCTTCACATCCTCATCGCTTGACTCCTTAGTTGAGTCCCACTCATGCCCAATGTGTGCCTCTCCCATTTGCTTGTATCTCTTTTTGTGTTCATGCTTGCCTTCATTGTTCTCCCTCTTGTATTTGTTTTCTTTCTCGTCATAGGGACACTTAGCAATGAAGTGCTCGGTGCTGCCACAATTGAAGCAAGTCATCTTCTTCTTGTTTGGGAACCTTCTTTGCACTATTTTATATCCATTCTTTTTCAGCCCCTTGTGATAGCTCTTCATGAACAAAGCCATGTCATCAATCTTCATGTAATCAGCCCCATCATCTTCATCTTCACTTGAGGATGAACTTGGATCATCATTTTGTGGAGTTAACTTGATTTCCTTGGGTTGACTTGTTGATGCTTGCTTGCTGCCCTTTGCCTTGTTGGAGGTGCCTTGATTGCTTGATTTATTGGCCTTGAGAGCTACTTCCTTGATTTTTATGCCTTCTAGCTTGGCTTGCAACTCACAAAGTCTTCTCCTCTCATTGGCTTCTTCTCTTTGCATGTCAAATGTCAACAATCTTCCAAGCACATCATTAGGTGTGAAGTGCTCAAACTTCTTCTTATCTCTAATCAAGGTAACTATGGTCTCATTTCTTGGTGAGTAGGCTTCCAACATAACCTTCACCACTTTGTGATCATCAAGCTCATCACATTCATAGCCTCTAATCTTGCCCATCAAGGTCATCAATCTATCAAACATCTCTTATGGCCCCTCTCCATCAACAATCACAAACCTATTGAGCTTAGCCATCAACAAATCAATCTTTGCTTTCCTCACTTTATCAACACCTTCATGTGCTAGATGCAAAGTGTCCCAAATCTGTTTTGCAACATTGACATTCATCACTCGGTTGTACTCATTTCCATCCAAGGCACTAAAAAGAATACTTGCAGCTAGCTCCTCATTTGTTGGTGCTTCAGGATCTTCCGGTGGCTGCAATCCATTCACTACAATCTCCCAAATACCGGGGTGAAGACCTACAAGATAGGCGCTCATCAAGTGCTTCCACTTGGTAAAGTTTGTCCCATCAAAATGAGGCAACTTGCCCGTGGGTACATTGATAAAGGACCTTTTATTATGGTTAGACAAATAAGAATAATTAAAGGATACGGTGGCATATTTCTTCTTGTTGTTGTTGCTGCCCTTGTCATCACTATCCTTCTTCTTGTCCTTGCTCTTCACCTTCTTGCTATCTTTTGAAGCATGGTATGATACATCGTCATCTCCATCATCCGAGCTACTAGAGAGCTCACTAGATGATGCATCATACTCATTCTTCTCTTGCTCTTGAGCTCTTGCTGCCCTTCTCTTGGCTCTTGCCTCTCTTGTGATTCTTCTAACTTTTTTTCTCTTCTTCTTGTCTTTGAGCCGCTGCTCTTCCTTCTTCATTTCTCTAGCTTCTCTTGTTGCGATCTTGGCGGCTTTTCTTTCTTTTCTTGACTTTCTTCTTTCGGCATCGGTGGTCTTGGGTTCTTTGATGGTGGCATCACTTGCTGTCGACATGGACAGCTCGCTGCTGCTGCCGACATCCTCGACGTGCACACCACTTGCGTCCGCAACGTGAACGGTCTTCGAACCTTCTCCTTCTTCCATACTTCACGCGGTGAAGCGTATACGAAGCAACCTCGCTCTGATACCACTTGTAGGATCTACAGGAAGATAAAGTAGGCCTAGAGGGGCAGTGAATAAGCCTGTAAAAATTCAACTCAAAACTCTGTTAGAACAGAGGGCGACACTGCCGGCTTTTCAGGGCGGCACTGCCGCTCTTCGAAAATAAATCTAACACAGGTGAGATTTTACAAAGATGAACCTGACCCCATTAGCTGATTAATCCTGCAATAGACAGACAAGATCCAGTTCGAAGACTGAATACCACAGAAACTCTACACAAGAGTGGATCAAGCAACTAAACCCTAACAACAGCTAGCAATGAGGTAAACCAGCAAGTAAACAAGATGAAGCACGCGAGACACAAGATTTATCCCGTGGTTCAGCTCACCATAAAGTTTTGTCTAAATCCACGTTGTTGAGAAAGCCATAAAAGGCTTGAGCTTGCCACAAAGGCTTGCCTTACCCTCGTTCTCAAATCAAAAGAGTGAACTCTTGAAGTGAGAGGCGATTTCTTAGCTTCGAGAATGAGGTTACAAACCTCCCAAGGCTGTCACAGGGGTTGGCAAGCACAAGGGCGACGCCTAGCCGGCTAGGAGCAAGCTCCAAGAGTAACAAACCCTAGAATCGCCGGCCAAACGTGAACCAAATGCTCTTAGACTTTGAGAATCAGTGGATCTGCTCTCCAATCGAGTTTTGCTGCCTTTTTCTCTCAAGTTTTGATGGTTGGAATCAAGGATTTGCTTGAGGGATGGAGGAGCAACAATGGAGGAGAGAAGTGAGCTTTGGTTCTATCTTATTTCGAGTAGAATGACTCAGTGAAGAAGATGACCGTTGTGGGCCGGGCCTGAAGGGTATAAATATCCCTCAAGCCCAACGGTCAGTTAAGGACGGCACCGCCGCCCTAGCCAAAATAGGTAAGATAATATGAAATTTGGCTGGCTATTTTGACTAGGTGAGAGGATGTAAATATATGAATTTAAGCATCTGGTTCAACAGTTGACCAACTGTCCTAAAATCCCTCTTAATAGTACGGCTTTCCCTAAACTCAATTTCAAAACATAAAAGAATTTAAATTTTCTTTGATCTAAGTCTTGCCACCTTTTGTAATTAGGACACCTGCAACATGTACATTATCCTCATTTTTCGATTCCCTACTTGTCATCTCGATAAATCTCATTAGTCCTCTAATTTGGTGGTCATCAATGCCAAAACCCACAATAGGGCTTGATTGCACTTACAATAACTATATTAGCTTAATTAATTTATGTCTAAATTGTAATTATTAGAATGAGTTCATGGGTCCTTAGATTTTTTTTGTAATGGGAGACTTTCAGCCTGTTCGTTTCGGCTGAAACGATCGGGGATTATAAGCTAGAAGTACTGCTAGCTGGTTTAGTGTGAGAGAAAAATATTATTTCAATTTATAATTCATGATCGTATAAGCCGAAATAAACCTGCTGTTTATTGAAACTGAGATGCTCGTAGGCATACTTTTCACAAGCCATCTAAAGTCCAAATGCACCACAACGGCAACGGCAAGAGGTTACACACGGCCACGGTGATGCTGCATGGGCCTATCCGCAAAACACTCCACCCTAGTACCCCACCATGATCCAGACTCTAGACCCCGAGAGAGAGAGAGAGAGAGTGCGCCTCCCCATTATCCGGGCAACTGGAACTGGTGGGCGTCGCTCCCGGCAGCTTTTCTCTCCACCATCGCGATCGGCGGCAAAAGTTGATCATCCCACCCATAATTTCCCGCCTTCCCACACACCTTTCTTTTCCCCCTTCCCACGCCTACCAAGTCCGTGTGGAGTGCGATCGGCTCATGGGGCGATCCTGATTGGAGTCGTGGACTCGTCGGGCCAGATGCAACAGGAGTGGAGGGGTTACCTAGGGTTAAAGATTTCCAAATTGGCCGGTTGAAACGAGCTGGCACGAGCCTGGTGCGAAAAAGCCCGGCCCTAGCTCGCCACGGCCGTGCCCGTGCCTGGCCCGGCCCGGTACCATGCCCGTGCCTGGGCCGAGGAGTCGGCCCGTAGTGCCGGCCCGGGCACGACCCGTTACAACGGACGGCACGCCAGCATAGAGGAGGGCCGCGGGGCTGGGGCCTGCGGTACATAAGCCACCCACCGCGGCAGCCCCCCTAGTCCCGCACCATCCAAACCCTAGCTCATTTCGCCTGCTCTTGTCTCCCTCACGCCGCTCTCGTCTCGCTCGCTGTCGTCTCGCTCTCGCCCGTTCTCCTAATCGTCGCCGCATTCCCCTGCTCCATCGTGTCCATGGCGTTCTCCGATGGGTAAGGGGTCAGATCCGATGGGTTCCATCCTCAATCTCTGCCGTGGCCGCCCCCCCCCCCAGTCTCGCACCATCCAAACCCTAGCTCATTTTGCCTGCTCTCGTCTCCCTTGCGCCACTCTTGTCTCGCTCGTCGCTCTCGCCCGCTGTCGTCTCGCTCCTCGCTCAGCCTGTTCGCTTGATCCTCGCCTCGTTCCCCTGCTCCGCCGTGTCCATGGCGTTCTCCAGTCGGGTAAGGGGTCAGATCTGGTGGGTTCCATCCTCAATCTCCCTGCTTTCCCTCTCTGCCCTCAATCTCCCTCTTCTCTCTCAGATCTGGTGGTTTCCGCCTTCAATCTCCATCTGTTCCCTTGTTCTTCATCTCTGAAAGTCGATTGGGACTCATTCTTAGCATCCTCGACGCATCTCCGTCTTCTGTCTGTCGTTCTCATCACCGACCGCCGCCACCTCTGGGGCTCCGGTCTCCATTGAGGTACCGAGGGTGTGCATCCGGTTCATCTCATCGTCCTTTCCGGCGCTTCGGCTCAAGAGGTAAGGCCCCCTACCCTAACCCTAATCCCCTACCCTAACCCCTACCCTAACACTAATCCCCTGCCCTAACCGTCTTTTTCTGTTGTTGATTGATGCAGCCGTCGAGGAACCAGAGACGACAAAGATGGCCCGAGGCGTAGGCGACGCCGATGAAGGGGAGTTTGATCACTCCCAGAACGACGAGCTGCGGATGTACGGGTTAGCCAGGGATGATGAGGAGGATGATGTCCGCGAGGACTGCGCCGAGCTATTTGGGTGGTCTGCTGCTGATCCCCTTCCCTGTGACCAAGATGCGGTCCCGGTCCACGGGGAAGGGGCCGATCCCAATGCCGATGGTGGCGACATTGAGGTGGCAGGCTCCAATCGGCCTTCTACCTCTGCTGTCTGGGATGATTTTGAGAAGCACTTCAAGAAGGTGCCAGGTAAGGCGAGACCCATCAGGTATGCTGCCACTTGCAAACATTGCAAGAAACAATACTCTGCTTATTCTGCTAATGGCACTAGACATCTTACTCGACATCTTAAGGTTTGTGTTAAGCGTCGTTAGAAATGTTGCATGTCTCAAACTCAAATTGGTTTTAATCCTGATGGTTCTGTTCGTCGCTGGGAGTACAATGCTGATGTAGCTCGTGTTGAGCTTGTTCGTATGCTTGCTAGGCTAGATTTACCTTTACTGATTGGTGAAACTGATGCCTTTAAAGATTACATTAAAACTGCTCATAACCCTGCCTTTGCACCTGTCTCTAAGCAAACTACTGCTAGAGATCTGTTTAAGCACTTCAATGGTAAACGTGAAAAATTAATGACTTGTTTGCAAGACAATGTTGTTTCATCTGTTGCTGTTACCTCTAATATTTGGTCTAGAAAGGCCAAAGAAGATTATATGTCTGTTGTTGCTCATTTCATTAATGCTGATTGGCAATTAGAGAAAAGGGTGCTTGGTTTAAGGTGGATTGATGTCTCCCATAATGCTGAAAACATTGTTGAGCGTGTTAAAACTGTCCTTGCTGAGTATGGTATACTTAACAAGGTTTTTTCTGTGACTTTGGATAATGCATCTGCCAATAAAAATGCAATGGATAAACTGAAACCTATACTTAAAGAGTATTTAGGTGATGATCTGTTTTTGCATCAACGATGTGCTTGTCATATTATTAACCTGATTGTTAAGGAAGCATTGGCTGTTGTTAATCTTCTCATTGACAACTTTAGAACTGCAATCTCTTTTTTAAACTCTTCTAATCAAAGAATTGCTGCATACAAGAGTTATTGCATTGCTAGCAGTGTTAGACCTAAGAAGTTCTCACTGGACATGGATGTTAGGTGGAACTCCACCTATCTTATGCTGAAAACATTGTTACCTCACAGGAGTACTTTCAGTACTTTCATTGAGGCTAATTACCCTAGACCTGTAGGTAGTCCTTTCCTGTTGACTGATGATCACTGGGATATGGCAACTAAGATGTTGCAATTTCTTGAACTGTTTTATGACTCTACTGTTGCTTTATCTGGTGTGTACTATCCTACTTCTCCACTTATGATTCATCATATTGTTAAGATTGTTGTTCACCTACATAAATATCAACATGATGAACATCTGAGATCTGTTGTGCAGTCTATGATTGACAAATATAATAAGTACTGAAAGAACATACCTGATCTTCATTCCATTGCATTCATACTAGATCCAAGAGCTAAGATTAAGGGCTTTACCAAAGTGCTTAGAAAGTTGAATTTTCTTTTTAATGTTGATTACACTAACAAGTTGCTGGACACCAGAGCTCTTCTTTTTAGAATGTACAACAGGTATGATGCAATGTATGGCTCTGTTAGGCTCAAAAGGGTTGTTCCTGCATCCCTTTCTGGTAAAAAAAGAACAGCTTGGGCTAACATTTATTATGATGATGAGCTTGACATTGGAGCTGGCTGTTCTTCCCTCCCTCCTAATCTTGATCAGTCCAGGGGTGTTTCTGCCACTTCTTTGCTACATGCAGCTTCTGCTTCTAACTCTAGTGAGCTTGCATCCTACCTGGACTCTGACACAGTCAGCCAGTTAGATGATGATTTTGACCTCATGCAATGATGGCATGAGCACAAGCTTACTTATCCTGTGCTTTCTATTCTTGCAAAAGATATTTTTACTATGTCTATGTCAACCATTTCTTCAGAATCTACCTTTAGCACTATTGGCAGGATCATCGAGGAGCGTCGCCGGAGGCTGAACCCTAAGACTGTGGAGGCACTAACCTACATCAAGGACTGGGAGAATGCTGAATCAAGACTGCAGCACATGGTGGAGGATAAGGAGCTAGAAGAGGCCTTTGAAGCACTTTTTCTTGATGTTGATTAAGTTTCCCATTTATGTAATGGTTCTGTAGTAGCTATTAAGACTTGGACATGCTGGAGGCTGGATGTAATGAACTTATGAACAATCTTAGGAGCTGGCTGTACTCTTTTCTTGTTTAGGGTTTCTCACAAGGGTGAGTTTTACCTAAACAGGTTTTTAATGAGGCAGCCATTGCACAGCTCCTACTTTAATTAGTTTTAGTTTCAAAACTTGCCTGTTTTCTTTGTTGTTCTTTGCTCTTTGCTGTTTTTTCTGGCATTGTCTAATGTTTTTGATGAGTTAGAAGTTATATCTGTGAACTTATGATTTGAATGAATGTTTTTGTAATTTCAGTGCTAGGGCCGACACGGGGCACGCTGGGCTGCCGTGCCGACACGGCACGTCAGGCACGGTCCAGCAAGTTTAGTGCCGTGCCTGGGCCTGAACTCCGGCACGGTGGCACGGCACGGTACGGCACGCCTCATTAACCGTGCCTGCCGTGCCGTGTCCAGGTGGGCTAGGGCCGTGTAGTGCCGTGTCGGCACGTTTGGAAATCTCTGATCACGACTGGGGATGCGGGTCGGGGACTTAGCTCCCTGCGAGTTTGGTGGGGGGAGAGTGCACGTGGTTAGGGATTGTGATGGTGTGAATGTGTGATCGCGGTACGGAAAGCGATGTCAGACTGGGTGGGGTAGGATTAATCGGGGGTCATTTCAGGTCAATTATTAGGTGCTGTACTGTGATATCTTCAATCATCTGCGGACCTGCCATGTCGTGTCCTTGACTGGTGGAATATCTTGCTTGCCCCCAAGGGTTTTTAATCTTAATCGAGCAATCAGGGTCTTGTACTAGTCCTGTGAATTGATTGCACATGTATATATTTCCTTGTTCTGTTTAGCACTCGATCCGCAATTCATAGACTCAGGGTGGACCCGCGTGTCATTCACTCAGTGGCCAATTTCCAATTGTATCGGCTTACAGATTATCTGTACATAATAATATTAATTAAGTACCACACTAATTTGGATTTGTGATGATAAAATGGTAATTAGATAAAAAATGCTACTGCCTTCTTTCTTAGCAGTAAGAGAGCTGCTGTTATGAATAGGGATATTGCTGGGAGGAGGATGGCGTATAATTTTGTTGTGGGAGATGGTAGGATGTGGCTCTAGACCTCAGTGTGGCTTAGGGCCAGTTTGGTAGAGGTCTCCTTCTTGATCATTGAGCTTCACTTTTGATTCTCTGATAGGATGATTCTGGTGGGGAGCAGGTGAGAAGTGATTCTACATTGATTCTAATGGTGATTGAACGGGGAGCTATGGAGAGCGGGGTTTTTAGCTTTCAGCTCGTAGTGTAAATAGAGAAGTGATTCTCGTCAGCTCCCCACTAGAATCCAGCTACATTTGAACTATTTGGTAGGGCTCTTAAGAATCCGCTCCGAAGAAGCTAGGAGTGGAGCTATACCAAACTGGCCCTTAGGTGCCATGGTGCTGTGGTTGGTCACTGCACCCAGGAGACTGGGAAGGAGGAAGGGGACAATAGATTCAATCTCTGCTTGGCTTCTAAAAATACTGTTCTTGGGTTAGCAATGACACCGGCCGGGAAATAACAAACCTCCAAACTTAGCCATGAAGCCAAACAACATGCCAACAAGCCAAAGAAATTGCTAAGTAAACTGAGATATTCAAGCATCAGGCCTGTACTTGGCCTGATGGCTCTGACAGTAGGCTTTCACCTAGGAACCTGGCCTACCTCTTTGCGCCTCTCATTGTAGAGACTCCACAGTCCACATGACAGTTGAGGTCAGTGCAACCTTGTCAAGGTATCAGTTATTATGGCATAATGTGCCGGTTTCTAGCTTCGAAGAAAGTATGGATTGAATGATGATACCTTGACCCTGGCAAAAAAATATTTACTGATTCTTTATTGCCTCAATTGCAAAGATGTTGAACCCACATTGATCAAAGTATTCCTTGCATATGACAAATCACCAAATGCCATTGACACTAATTATGTTTGCTCAGTTACATTATTTTCACATGACTTCTCAATATTTTACCCTTATTTAATTGAACTTCTCTTCTGTTTGCAGAGTAATGGATTAATGCTTTTATCAAGGTGATGAAAGGTACCAAAAGTGACTTATGGGAAAGAAACAAAGCTTGTTCACTGTTCTAAAAGAGGAGGTTTAATCTGATGCAGTCTCAAAAGAGCAGAGTTTTGGGAGCAATGTCACCCTCTTTGTCTATTCTGCCAAATCCTTTGAAAGGGAGCTTCCCAAGGCCTTGTAACCCCCAGCATATTCCTATGTCGAGGCAGCTGCCTGATGACTCTATGCCCTTGCGTAATGACATACATCAGTCTGCTAGTTTGCACCCAAGAGCTGGTGTTATTGGGGCACCATATTCAGGCTACTCTGCTAGTCCACTTGATTCTGTGTCTAACCATGATAGCCAGTCAATGGTTGCACCCTATATTTCTCAGTCATCCAGTTTTGAAGCTTTCCATGGATGTTTCACCACTGTACACAGATAATATTGCTGCTCCTGATGATAATCGAATCCAGAGTATACGTCCTGCTATGACATCTGATGAGACTGCTAAACAGAATGATTGGTGGGCAGATATAATGAATGATGATTGGAAAGATATTCTAGACGCAACAGCTACTGATTCACACTCAAAAGTACGCAACTGCAGAACCATAATGAGTAAACTTGTAGCTCCATCTTCTGTTCTGGAAGTTTAGAAATACTCTCTTCTTTATTATGACATTAGTTTTGATACTAAACCTACTGGTAGGTTTGTGCAAATATTTTATGTATTTTAGTCATTGAAACTGGAGATTTTTTTTTTTTCTTTGCACATACTTCTGTGACATACATCTGTAAATGAAGGTTCCCTGGCCTTACCCCTTATGAGAAATTGAGAAGCCCTAATGTTGTGCAAGTAGTTTGGTCTAGCTCCAGTTTTTAGTTGTTTAAGATGTCTTATTGAATTGGCGGTGAAGATAGCAGAAATGATTCCCAACATATTTCATTTGAATAGTGTTATTGTACATGTTAGATTGACCACTGGAGGTACCATGTTAGAATCCTTTAAGAACTTTTCATGTTATTAACGCTAAATGGTTACCGCTGGAAAATTAAAGTGCTGTTGCTGCATCTCCTCTTTGGTACAATATAGGCACCCAGTTGTCTGTGTTTAAGATAGTCGTAGGCTTGTAGCCCTGTAATTTCTGTGACACTAGCTGTAATGACTTATGTTTCTTTTATGACTGTTACTCCTTTCTGTTATAAGCCATGATTCAAACTTCCAACTCAGCTACATCACCACCTGCAGTAAACCAGTCAGCTTCATCTCATAGTATGGAGATTTGCCCTGTTGCTAGTCCTCCCAATAGCAGCAATGCTTCAGTTGCTAAACAACGGATGAGATGGACCCCAGAACTCCATGAATGTTTTGTAGATGCTGTAAATCAGCTTGGCGGTAGCGAAAGTATGTCTGCCCTGTTGTCATTTTCCCTCAAATAGTTTAAGTTATGAACCCTATATCACATCATTTAATGCATGTGTTCTTTTCTCTTATTCCTATTCAGAAGCTACTCCCAAGGGCGTGCTAAAGCTTATGAAAGTTGATGGTTTGACTATATATCATGTCAAAAGCCATCTGCAGGTTTGCTGTTTAGCTTTCTAAGTAGTATCCATGCCCAAAGAGACCTTTTCATTTTCTTATCTGAACTGGTTTGTGTTGCAGAAGTACCACACAGCTCGCTATAGACCAGACCTGTCTGAAGGTTTATCTCGCCTGGACTCTTCCCAACCTATCTTCTTTGTGTTGTGGATTACATTTTGCATGGCAAATGTCTAGGGGTCATGAAACTCTCGGTTTTTCCCTTCCCTAGACCCCACTCATGTGGGAGCCTCCGGCACTGGGTCTGCCCCCTATTTATTTGTGTCATGATAACCATGTCGTGAGGAATTCTGTGTTGCAGACAGCATGCATATGTGTAGCAATATCAAAATAACTGTGAATTGTTAGTGTTAATATTATACTTTTGTAACTCATTATGCAGGTACATCGGAAAAAAGGACAGCCGCTGAAGAGCTGGTCCTGGACCTGAAAACGTGAGTGAATAATTACCGTATGTAATCCCTAATTTCACTTTCTGGTGTGCTATTTGTCTCATTTGGTGATAACTGGTATCATGTTGCTGTGTGATACATTGCTTTTACTTTGTATATAGACATAGGGTATATGTAAGTTCATAACAAAATCTATGTATCTCGGAAAGCCAAAAAGTCTTGTAATTTGGAATGGAGGGAGTATGAATTAAAGAAAATTATTCTTTGTACATCTCTTGAAATGATGGCAGAGTATTAAAAGTATTGTCTTTGCCATTTGGATTGCTAGTTACTTGCCGATTTATGCATGTCTAATTGGATGATAGTGGTTTTTTAGGAATATGCTTTGCTTTTTGTTCATAATGATACTAAAGTGTGTCTGAGCATGTAAGGTTTGCTGCCCTAGAATTGATCTATTTCCGGACTGTTCTCAATTGACACATTTGCATCCATTGATTTGCATTATTTACCATGCATTAAAGAATTTTGAGGGCTATGAATTGCCTACAAGCTGTTTCAAATCTATTCTTGAAGGGCCTTTTTACAATAGCAATGCTTTTACAATTACAATCATGGTCTGAAATTTAACAAGTAATAGATACTCCTAGCATAGATCATGCCCTGAGTGTAGATGCATGTGTCAACACCCTCTTCTAGTTCTGGAACTGTCATGATGCGTATTGAGCCCATTGTATTCACTTCTTTTCTTGCTTCTTTTGAAACAAAAAATCTAATTTTGAGGTTTTCCTATATGTTAAATTGCATCATGCCATCATCTTTGTTGGTTACTTCTTGGAATACTCTTTCATGATATTGGCTATTCTTGTATAGGAGCATGGATCTTACTGAAGCGCTGCGCCTTCAGATGGAAGTCCAGAAACGTCTTCATGAACAGCTTGAGGTACTATTTCTAAATTTAGTTGGTGTTGATTCCATAAGTGTTTTTTCTCTTAACATGATGCAGCATGTGCCCAACATTAATGCCAATGAAGCTCACTTTATCCTAACATGATACATATATTCCTATATTGCAGATTCAGAGAAAATTGCAGTTGCGGATTGAAGAGCAAGGAAAGTATCTGCAGATGATGTTTGAAAAGCAGAGTCAATCGAGCACGGAGAAAGTCCAGGATCCATCCTCAAGGGATACAGTGGCAAAAACCATCATCTACTCTGAACCAGTCTGCAAACAAGGATAGTGGTGCAACCATGGACCCAAATAGAACAGGAGACAGAGCGAAGACTGCAGAACTGGGAGAACGGTCGTCTGGATTAGGTGTCAAACAGAAACTTGTAGAGATCGAATCTGATACTGAAGGAGCCACAGACGATGGATCTAAGATCTCCCAAGAGGCGCGCTGCGCAAACTGCAAGATAGTTAACATATCGGTTGCACCATTCAGATATAGCTGTTCAATCCATTGCTTGGTCAAAAATTGGTATCATCAGTGTGTGGAATTCTACTATTGATCCGTACGTCTATTGATGAGTTGTACCGCCTTTAGTTAGCTATATATTTATATTTATATAAAGGATACAAAGGAGGAGGAAAGAGAACCTCCTTGCAGCCGTGTTTATAACATTAGCAATAAGAGCTATCCCCGAAGTGGGGTAGAATAAGGCCTTGCTCTATCTGGATTTCTTTTGTTTGGGTGGGTGGTGAAGTGGTCACCGAGTTAATGTAGATGACCACATGAATTTATCGGAAGCAAGCCAGTGCTTTTCCCTAGCGGCATAGGAACCAAATATTGAAACGCATGAGCATTGTTTGATGTTGCAAACTTTTAGAATTAAGTCTACATCGATTTGTTTGGTGTTGTTTGGGACTTTGGGAGATGAGGGAGTGATAGGGGCCTTGCTTGCCGTGCGGAGCAAATGTAACGACCACGGACACTTCTTAACTATATGTATGATAATATACCCGCTAATTATGGTACCTAACTATGTCAACAAGCCACCTCATCCATATCAACATACATTTAGTTATCCATGTTAGCATACCAAACAATCCACTAAAATTTATTTTTAATAATTTATCCCTTCATACAAGTAAATATAAGTTGTCTAATTTTATTCTAAATTATTTATTTCTCATTTTTAAATTGAAAGTTATATATTTATACACAACTTTTATATATAACATTTTTATTAGATAAATTCTAAAATAACTTTCCTTGCCCAACTTTCATGAAAGCGTTGCCGTAGGCAACTTATAAAAATGATTTTACATATGTTTTTTGTCGGCCAACTTATTTAGGAAACTATTTTTGGAACCCTGTTTGTTGCACATCTTTGGACAATTTTGATTGAAATAAGTTTTTAGGAAAAAAAACCATCCAACATGTCCTTAGTCACGATTACATTGAGAATATGATCCTTAGTTACGAGGACTAAAGTCTATGGCTAAGCACACTCTAGCACAAAGAAGTAATCCTAGTTGTCACCCAAAGATTCTTTCATAAACAAACAACTTCTCATTTTTGAATTGAAAGTTATATATTTATACACAACATTTAACCTTTTTATCAGATAAATTCTCATAATAACTTTCTTCACACAACTTTCATGAGAACATTATCATAGGAAACCTCTACATAGTTTTTCGTTGACCAACTTATTTAGGAAATTATTTTTGGAACCATGTTTGTTGTACAACATCATTGGAAAACTTGATTGAAATAAGTTTCTAGAAAAAGCCATCCAACATGTCCTTAGTCAAGATCACATTAAGAATATGGTCCTTAGTTATGACAAGTAAAATTCATGGCTAAGCACACTATAGCACAACAAAGTAATCCTAGTTGTCATAACTAAGGACAAAGAATATGTAGAAAGTGATCCTAATGTCATGAATGACTTCAAGGACCTGTAAGCTGTTGAGTTTGAACGAAGAAATAGTGCCAATTAGTCTAGTCTATTATTATTATGTTTGTTGTGAGTTGTGCCTTTGTCCAAGCATGCATGACTACATTAGTTGTGCACTTGTGTGCCGTAAGAATCAAGCACAAGGTGCACTCCAACTAAGTAGCGTGGCAGGCTAGACCCACAACTTGGGTGCCGTAAGAATCAAGCACAAGGTGCACTCCAACTACCCACGAGCATTCCAGTAGAGTATCCTTTTGGAACTACACGAGGTGGGATCCCAAATCATCGATTGGAGGCAGAGAACAATCACAAACACAACCCTCAACAACCATAGCTGCTCAAGCAATCTTGGTGGCGGCAATCACCAAGAATAATAATAAAACCATAACCTAATCGAAGAACTAGTGCCACTAGATGCAAATCAACAAAGCAAATACACTAGATCTCTCCCAATCTCACTTTAGATCAAGCATAAGTCAAAAGATGAGTGTGAGGTGTTCTTGAAGGTCCACAAGTGTGTTGGATTGCTTAGAATGCCAAGAGTACTCTCAAAGAGCCGGCCAACAACTATTCATAAGCCCCATGTGGGTTGTCTGTGTAGGCACCGACAAATCTAGTCCCCACCGAACAGCACCACTGGATGAAGCGTTATGGGAAACAGGCAGCCCTAGCACTTTGTCCGGTGCTTGGTTATTAGTACCACCAGACAAATCCAGTGGCAACTCAAACAGTGGCCCACAGAACTAGCTATTAACTCCCCTAACGGCTATATTGGCGGTGCATTGTCCGGTGCTCGGCCCCTGGTGCACCATCGGACAGATCCGGTGGTTACCAGAGAGGCTCTAGTAAGGATTTTTGCTCATCGAACAAGTCTGGTGCTTCACACCGCCAGTTCAGAGCATGTTAGTTGGTAACCACCAGACAAATCTAGTGGATAACCCTAGCCGGTGTTAAGTGACCCTGTGCACCCCTATACGGCTATACCGTAGTGCTTCGTTTGGTGCTCTCTGCAGGGCAACACCGGACAAATCCGGTGCCAGCAGATAGGCCTCAAACAGCTTCAAACCGGTCCCTTTTTCAAATGTGCTAAATCCTTCAAGTGTCCAACTAACATATGTGCATGTGAGTTAGCATTTTCAAAACATCTTTTAAAGGGTTTTCACTTGCATTTGACCACGTCACTAGGTCTAATACATATGCAAAGTCATTTCACACCTAGTGGCACTTAGATAACCGATTTGACTTTAGTGTTCCCCTCTTGGTATGGCTATCTAATTCTAAACCTGATCATGCACTCTATTACGTCTTGGCCAACAAAACAAAACCCTATCTTGTACCTTTGCCTTGATCACCATAGGGATTTGTTTGTTCTCTTTCTTCTTTTCCAAGTGTGAGCTTGCTCCAATTGGATTGATCACCCTTCATCCATCTCCAAGGCTTGCTCACCACTTTGGTATGGACCTAACCTAGCTTATACAATACTTACCAAAAGGTTAGTCCACTAGTTGTCTTAATTACTAAAACCAAGCATAGGGCTTTGAGTCTCGGGCCTTAGTGCCTGCTTGCGTTAGATCTTGGGAGACTAATCATGTTACTTTCTAGTGTGTTTGATTTAATCAAGACATAGATGTAGGATGCTTGCACATGGTGTGGGACAAATTCCATTTTATGTTCCCAGTTTCCTACCACTTTTGATGGGTTCCTGACCGTATATCGCTTTCCTTATCTCGCTAGTTATGTGTTTGTTCTCATTCCAAATTTCAATCTTAACAAAATAATATGAAACTAAAAACAAGTGAGGGGTTATCTGGATCAGTCATGTTCATTTTCATCCCTAATCTACAAAATGGTAGGAAAATCCTGATCTCGAAACGGATCATATGAAACAAATTTGAAAAATCATATTATTCATGCTTATAAGGCCCTCTTGCTGACTAAGAGTCTAGTTTCTTCTTAGGTTCCCCCGTGGAACTAGTCAGACTGAACATTGAAGTATGCTCCATATCTTAATTATTGGGATTGATAGATATGTCCATTGGATTTCTAACACAGATCAATGTAGTGTTTGAAGGTGCGACGTTTTGGTGAAATGCCTTGACCCCAAGGAGATGCACGGGTTGATTCTCCTTGTTGCATTATCTTTTACCACTAAAATTCTTTGGAGACATTATAGCATGGCATTAGGCTTGCCATGATTCTAAAATTTCAAACGCACTAAAGTAATAGAACATTGTTAGGACTTAGGATGATGTTAGTGATGATTCCTTTGTAGAAGTTTATCATACACTTTGACCTGAGGTAATTTAAGAATTCTTCTAGGACAAACATAGTAATATAAATTCCTACAAATGAAACTATGGATAATCATGGTTGGCATTGAGAAGAATGACTTCCATGTGTAGCTCATAGCACTCTTTGAGAGCTAGCCATAAAGTGCATAGATTTACATCCATGAGATACACATTTTTATCTGGATGTGTATGGTACTTTATAAAAAAAACTCTTTTTGTGATCTATAAGCATTGATGCTCTATCATAAGGTGCTTTGAATGCCACTATAAATCCATAGGTTGATACATTGAACTTTACATCCATTGACCATGTTGGATAATTGTAACTATCAAGAATGATTAGTCAAACTCTTTCTTGGACATGTTAATTCACCTAGGTTCAAACCATGTACTTTTCTCTTACATTGAAAATCAATATGGTGGTTAGATTTGTTTTGTTAAAAGCTAAGATAAAAACATGTAAATCCCTCATGCTTCTTCTTATATATATGTGGATTTTTTTCCTTTTAAGAGGTAAGATTGAGTTATTTCTACACATGGAGGGGGGGCATGTGCCCCTACAATCATAAATAGTTATACTGATGTTCACTCTGTTTGGTGGTGTGGTGAGAGCCTCTAAACAAGAGCATCTCAAGCGACATTTCTCAAATTTCCTTGCATGAAGAGACTAGCTTTATATGGACACACATAAATAAAAGTACTATTTACTTGGTCAAACAAACTAATTGATTATTTATGGATGATGTGGATTAATGGACTTTTATAGTGAATAACAATTGGTAGGGTCAATTTGTGGATTATGTGGATCAATGGAGCTTTTATAGTGAATAACAATTGGTAGGAATATCTTAGCAACATCTAGCGAAATACTTATATCAAGCATATCTTCGATTCAATATTGTATGAGTTCTTTTTATATTTGACATTAAATCTTACTATGAATTTACTACATAGTGCAATGTGTCACCAATCTAGTATATGTCATGAGATTTGTATGCGACTTTAACGTGAGAAAGAACTATCGAGTCACTTTATTTCATTAT